GGCCTTCTGCTTTATTGCAATGCACATCTTGCTTTTCTTCCATCCTATTCTATTGATCGGTTTGTCTCTACTCTCCGAAATCGCGCGTTTTAACCCGATTCTTTCATTGCGTTGCCTGATAGGTTGCCGGCCAAAGGCCAACTTCTTTCCATGCCTCGCCTTTGGCTCCGCCCGAATTACCTTCGATTGTCCATAGAGTGTAGTTTTTGTACGTTTGTTTCTCTTCGGAAACCGAATCTTCATGCGTGAAACTTTGTGTGCTGTTTCCAGTGATCACAAACTGACACATAAAGCAAAAGAAGCAGATAATTTTTTTGCAAGAGTCTCCTTAAAGACGAATCCACGCTGGGAAGGCAACCCATTTCAAATTAACTTAGCGATGGTGATTGGTACACTAAAGAAGGAAGAACCATGAGAAACGGTCCAGAACCCGAGAAATGGGACCCCTTCCTTGCCCGTTGATTTGAGCATTGATGCGACTATCATCGCTGTGCCCTCTTCAACACTACTCACCTATCTAATCACTCGCCACGTATAGACCTGCGGCGAGTGATCAGATGATCGGTGGGCGTGCACTGGCCCACCGCGCCAAGATTGAGCCTTAATAGGTCGCCGAGGTCAACTCCTTCGGTGCCAATTGCGCTTCAGTCCGCACCCTTAGGAGGTCCGCGGGTCCCTCAACTAGGTGAATTACTCCTTCGACCTTCATTCTAATCGTGAATTCGTCCTATGTTAGTAATGGTAAAAAAAAAAGGTTTCTGGACATACAGATAGTGTCTGTATTACATAATAAATAGGATGAGGAATTTTGAACGCTCAAGGCGCATTTATCCCTGGCTTTATGCCATGTGCGTTGCCAAAAAGAAGCCTTTCTGCGTGGGCACTAGAGTAAAGATAGAACACTTCACCGGAGGTTTCGCGTGTAAGTACAGAGTGCATGGATGCCTCCGCACGTACAAGATAGTGGACACACTGGAAGCTGGTTCTAGCATTCTACAGAACTTTGACACTATCCACTCTCGACGAACTCAACTGAGGCCTTCCTTGCGATTACAGTCGCACCGCAGGACCTCTTGAAAAATCCCTAAGCATTCTGGAGCTCTCCTTGACAAGTGCGATACTAATTTCGTTGATGAATTCGTAGTCCTCAGACCAACCCAGAAGTTGTTCAATCTGTGCACCGAACCTAACGGTAAGCCTTCACTCAAATAAAAATAAAAGTAGTTGAATTGCAAACCAACCACTGAAAAACGTTATCAACTAATCAATAAAGATGATGAGCAAGAAAATTTTTTAATGTGCTGATTTTGTGTGGCAACGAGAATTAAAATTCCCAATCCAAAAACAACACTAAGTTTTGCAGTTTTGTGCAATACGAAATATTCGGATGTGGTATTATCACCTACCGATAGTTATGATTGCTCCACCATCTGCGCGGAATTCGTTAGCGATTTGCGTTCGGATCGTTATATCCGCCATCCCTTAAAATTTCTCCACTAAGCTCTGATGAGAAAGCACAAGGTTTCAGTTTGGACCACATGTTTGTTTTCGTTCAAATATCACTCCCTTTTGACATTCATGAATCTGTCGGATTATCTTTATCTAGGCTTTCTTAAGCGCTTCTGAGATCCTCTTTTATTCAGCTGTACATATGATTTTGATAATCCCTTTCTGTTGTCAGCTTCATTTTAAACTTCCCACATCTTTAACCTTTCCTAACTTTCCATATCCTTAGCCTTTTAAACCACACTGCATTTTTCTGCCACAGCAACTTAGGACGTAAATTGCGCCCGCTGTGGACGCATTTTTACGCAAATAAAAAAGGATGTGTTCTATAGGCTACAAAGCAAGAGAATTTTTCGCAGATTCAAAATTTCTAGCAGTTGTATATCAGTCAGTAGGGAATTGTGATGGTGGTGGTCATTCCGTATCTTTTTTTTATTGATGTTCTGGAACACGTCATCATTCTAAGAACAACCATATTATTACTGCACGCGAACAACACGGATGGTGAAATAATTACAGACTACTTATTCTTTGATCTAACGAATGACTGGTCTTTCATGTTGTGGTAGGCCAGCGAGATTTTATCTTTGAAGAGGAATCCTTCGAAAATAAGCTGTCGGTATACTGTCCTGTCGGGTACTCAGTTTGCCCTGAGATGACTGTTTGAGATGAGCTACCTCCTGTGGATGACATGAATTGGAACAAATCAGCCATGCATATTGGATTCCGCTTCGCTCGCTGCTGGATACGTAGCCACTGAGCCAGATGGATTCCAAATGCCGTTGCAAAAGTACACGTCAACCAACACTGACTTCACTCCATCTCAAACTTGGGTAATTAAACCTCTTAAAAAAACCTAATCTTCAGTTTTAATGCTGTGTAATTTTTTTTTCCAAATGCTTTCACCACCAATAAGAATTCTTGTGGAGGAAATATCGAGGAAATCGAGTTCACAAGGGTATTTGCACCATTTGGAAGTCTGAACTTTCTTCATTAATGAGCATCTAATGAATTGAACGCAGCGTTGAAGCTTGAAATACTTTCTTTGTCCACAGGACTTTTTAAGCTCATTCTGGGAGTCTGCTTTTTGAAGGTACGAAATGAAAAATGTCCGTAGTCTTTGCTACCTAGGTTTTGCTTTCAGGGTCATAGTACAGTCTCATTTCATTTTTATTTCATTTTTACGTTGTTTTCTAAACGACCTTATCCCTAGGAATAACACAGTTCCGGCTACCAAGTTTCGTTTTCGCTGAACGGTTTTAGTAGTACCAAAAAAGTGGTGAATAATACTCTTGATGGTTCAATCCCCGCGGCGACTAAATTTTGCAATCAAGGTTGGCGGCCACTTGTTGGCTTCAAAATGGTCCTGACGATGAATTTGACATCTGATTTTGATATTTAGCGCGATTTGGCACCAAACCGTAGGCGCCAACCCAAATGCAAAATTTAGTCGCCACGGGGGATCGAACCCTTAACAGTACCTTATGCTTCTTTTTTGGTACTGCTATAACCGTTCAGCGAAAATGAAACATGGTTTTGCGTTCCCTACATGCGTCCCTACAATATGCACAAAACCGTTTTGAAAAAGCGCACCTTGCCCTGAAAGACCTCTCTTGTAAGTGTGGCGATGACAAGGTTTTGGTTTTCACGTGTTGAACTTTGGCGCTTTCATTATGCTCGTCGTCCAGGCTCTCAAATCTCGGATAGGCCATGAGTTTCCTAGCAGAAATTTTCCAACAGAATCTCTATCCAGCCAGTTTTATCCTACATATCATCTACCTTAGGCTAATTAAAACACCAGCATCGCTGTGTTTGCTTCTGACTTTATGCGCTTATTACCCCTGCCACTTACGAAGGGAAAGCGACCTCCTGCCAAGAATTCTCTGTTATTCAACTTTTCTTGAAAATATGCAGAAAGGTGGGTTTTTGTTATCCCAATGTTACTTAATTTTTGGACGAATGCCGTGTCCTACATTGTGGCTGAACGAAATGTTAGCCAACTAACACCCTGAATCAACGCATGCTATTGGCGTGGCGGTGGAGGAAACTCCAAGTGTATGTGCAAGGTCTCCTAGACTACTGTAGGTGTTACGCTCCTTATTATGCCCATCTGTTGGACCATAAATGTAGTTGTGCATGGTCGTATGCTCTGCCTCAGAAAACCAGAAGCGCTTCGAGTGCAGAAGGACCTCCTGCCAAAAATCTCTGCTATTCAATTGTCTTGACAGCAAATTATGCTGTTAGGGTGACTGTCCCTTCCAGGTCGCCTATATCTTGAAACCTGGGCATTTGAGTCTTAACGGGTGATATAATCTTTGTGTAGGTAAATCTTGTATGTTGTGATTGTTATAATCTTATTGTGCCACCAGGTTTTGCACGAGTGGAACGCTTATGTTATTGGGCTTGACGTTTCGACTAGCTCGTCGTTATCAAAAGCCTGAAAGCGTCATACCGCATTCAAATTGTTACCTATCCGCTCGTGACCAAGTGGCACCCAAGCTAATGAATCAAGGAGTGAAAACCCCAGGAATGTGTCACCTACCTTGACTCCACCAGCGTCACCGCTTCTGGATCAGCAGCTTCCCTTGATGGCCTCCAGATACAGTAAAATAAAATAAAATGAGACAAGTCAAGTTTGGTGACGAAACCAGTTTTCTCGCATAAACTACATAAAATTACATTGCTGATAATGATGTGAAATGTACTGTAGTACAAACGAATGAGCGCATTTCGTTGTCGTATGGAAAACTCATCTCTGGATTAGATATGCATATGGCGTTGCGGTGGAGGAAACTTTAAGTGGATATGCAAGGTCTCCTAGACTACTGTAGGTGTTACGCTCCTTATTATGCCCATCTGTTGGACCATAAATGTAGTTGTGCATGGTCGTATACTCTGCCTAGCAGAAAAACCACGAAGCGCTTCTAGTGCAGACAGCACATATAAGTAACTCTACAAAATGTATGTTTTTGCCAATGAAATGATTAGCCTGCTGCAGTTGTATTCTCTCAGTTGTCACTGATTACAACTCTCATTTACCAACTATCAGCTATCACTATGAATCACTAGTTACAGATTTTCTTAGAGGCCGTCGTCACTTGTGTGTGTGTTCTGCACTCAGCGTGCTTCTGGTTTTGTGAAACAGAGGGTACATTCGTCAAGCTCCACTGCTTATTTTGGTCGCGGATCAGCTCGAAATTCAATGAAAAAGTGGTTATTGACGTGATAAAGCTCCTGCTATCCTCTATGCTCGTTTCCATAACCAACAGATGTTCATCAAACATTCGGTCAGATGAGCTGTTATTGTAATGGAATTTGCGTTGTACTTACCATCGTTTTAGATACGCATTGATATTGAGCCTAATCTACTACTCTCCAGCGATTTCAATCGATACGTATCCAATCTTGTCAGCGCAATCTCCTACTCTACTACTATCCTAATATCCTATCGCCTACTATCCTAATCTCCCGAGTCGCGAACTATGAACGCGGCCTTATTGTTAGGGCAAGGAAACTGACTGTCGACTGGATACATGAGAAGTAAACACGGCGTGATATTGGATTGTGTGACTATGTATACAACAAATGACTCACATTATAAGTCCTTATGAGGAAAAATGATTATTCAAAGGCACATCAAACCTGTAGGAACTTGCGACAATAATGAGTACGGGGCGAGCAGCAGCGCGATGAGAAGGAGATAAAAATTTCGACGTTGCCAAATGGATCGCCCTGAAACTGATGAGAGTCACCTCATTTAAATGGCTGTTATCGAAGAATTATTCTGTTTTCTGGTTGGAATTGATCTTTCACAATATGCCAATTATTTGGTTGCCGAGTTCCAGATACTGAGAAAAAAACACAAATCTGGTCAGCCTGCCATCCTCATTGACGAGTGTATTCTGAATTCGATTGGAGAGAGTGGTTAGTGCAATGCACGGGTAATTGGCGAGTTCTATTTCAGATGTTACAAACCACCTTGGCGTTCTCTCAACGCCTCTAAAAGAAGTGAAAGTATGCGGCGATTACAAGGCATAGTATTGATTCTGAAGAATCCAAGGCTGCTTGATTAGACCATAAATTTTGCAAGAGCGTTTCGCCATTATGGCGCTCGTTCCATCGCTGATCGCCATTTGTTGCTGTGTCAAGAAGTGGGATCCTCAGATTTACCGCTCTCGAAAGCACGACTGGCTCGGATGCGTAGAACAAAAGATTGCAACGCCGATTCGAGTACTGCAACTTGGGAGGCAACATTGAAAGCTCATGAGGCTGCAAATGTTTCGCTCACGGAGAGCTGCTGCCAACGAAGTCCACTGCTATTGGTGAACAATAAGTGTTAGCAAGTGGATTGGTTTCCCGGCATGGTGCCCGGAAAATCGGAGAAACTTTACTTTATGTCGGCAACGCTTGCCCGAATTACGAAGGCGGGTCACGAAAGGTCTCCAGGCTCGTTATAGAATGATTCTGACCCACTTAGTGTGTACAGCAAAGGTAGAGACAGGCTACCATACGCTTCTGTTGCCGTCGAAGGTACTGAAATAGGGGCAGATGATGATCCGGACCTACTCGGAGTCAACCTCTTTGAGCTTTTCGCCCCAAAGACTCGGGATTTCTGAAGGGCCGGCAACCTGAAGTTGCCTGCTGAAGAGCAATGTTTCGACGATTATGGTGGTGTATGTATTCAGCAATTGTTGGCTGCACTAAAGAAGAAAAACAATTGAAAAAAAAGTTGCCAAATGCGCAAAGACTTTTCCGACAACCTAATACTTTTTGATTAGAGCCGATGAGTTCAGAGCTTCACGGTTTTCTAATGCTTCAAAGCTCATCCACTGTCATCACTACAAAGTTTTCTGCCCACGGCTTCCTTCTGTAATTGGGAACACCAGTCTTTTGGATTTAGTCGCTAATCAGATTAAGAAACTCCGTCTTTGTATTGACTTTGATAGATGTCGCTAGTCGCGCCAGACTATCATTTCTGCATCTCGGACTCGAAAATTTCTGGGTCTTTTCGCTAGCCTACCGGTTCCAGTTGCTTCACTGAATACACAGGAGTCAGCCGTATTGCTCCTGCTCCGAAGTCGTGCATGATCCTGCGTCATGGCTACATTTCTAACCCTTGTAGCCTAAAACTTCACGCAATTCCATTTTAACCCCTTGTCGAAGGACATAACCTGTGATAGCTCCCAATGCGCATTCACCCGTTTCTTCTTATTTTCGAAACACCAACTGTATGTCGTTCTTAACTAGGGTCGCTTTTTCCTTGCTAAACAGTAGGGAAATTCTGCTTTGATACAATTGCAGTATCACCAAGAGGGGGATGTACGCAGTACCTTCTCTAAATTTCAACAAACTTCTCAATTCAGCTTTCAAAGAGACTTCACTAACCCCTCGATATTTGTACCGATTTCGTTCATAATCGGTATGTCCAAGTCGAGTAGATCTGCTGTTGAAGTATAATCGTTGAGGTCAGCGAGCAGTTCAACACTGTCAGCGTAACGAATGACTCCGAGTCTGGTTTGGAACCGTTCTGCTTGGCCGATAGTAAGCTTGTTAAACGCTGATACAATGTAGTCAGTGGCCTTAAATAATGTGGAAATTAGTATGAAAATCTAGCATAAATTTGACGCGCAATTATTTAACTAGGTAGTGGCGCTCAAAAGTAATCGGCCAAATGCTTCCCGCCACAACGATTATGCTGGATCAAATTAGTTGATACCCAACACTTTATGAGGGCAGGTCTTCTTTGAATTCACATACTCATGTTAAATGGGAGAAAATGAAAAAATATTTACTGAAAATTATTGAGGCACATACCCGAGAAAATTTCCAGTTTGCTCCGCCCGCTATCGCGCGCAGGGTAGGGAGGAACCACGGAATAGCAGCATGACGTACTCCATTAACCACCTCACTATTGAATGTGTTATACCTCCTTATACCCCTTCTCTCCGGCGCATGGCAGCACCATGTTCTCCCTCCCTTTCTCCTCTCCCCCCCTTCCCTCCCCTCTCTCCCCCCTCCCTTTCCCCCTCCCCTCTACCGCCCGCCGACTCCGGCTGCCCCGGCAGCACCATGTAGAATGAGGCTGAGTGTGCTCGTTCGGTGTTTTTGTAGCCATTGTGGGTGTTATCACAATCACCACATCAGGTTAGAATAATACGTCAACATGAATATAGACCTTACTCTTGAAAACGGTCGTTCTCTCTCAGTCTCTCCTCCCCCACCTCCCCCTCCTTATACCCTCCTCTCCGGCGCATGACAGCGCCATGTTCTCCCTCCCTTTCTCCTCTCCCCCTTCCCTCCCTCTTTTTCTCCCTCCTCCCTCCCGCCTCCCCTTTCTTGCCCCTTCCCTCTACCCCTCGGGTTTACCATGATCATGACATCAACATCACGAAGTGTTGCCCTTCGTACTCCCTGGTTTTGTGAGCGGTCGGTCCGGACGGACAGAACGACACACACACCGACAACCACAGTTCTGGTTTATATAATGAAGTGATAACAATTCAACAGAGCAATCGGTCTTATGAAAATAAACATCAAGTAGATTCGATTCATCTTGCTAATCTCCTGTAGTCTCTGAAACCTTTACAGGGCCTAAGTGTGGAATCAGTGAATTGAGTCAAATGAATTTACTACCTAGTGGGACTACCTTCTCAATTTTTCTCCACATTTGAGGAGTTGCTCATCCATAATCCTGATCCACTTTTCTGCAGAAGTTCTATCACTCTTTCCCATGAAGTCTCCATGACGCTTAGATCATGCGTTCGAATTGTTCCCTTCGTTGAAAGCGCGCCATGCTGTCGAAACCAATCCTTCACAGTGAAGGTGCGATGCTTTTGGTCGCTCTATAGCTAGAAGGCGAAGTCAGTCACCTTAAAGGTCCATACGTGTGGATACGCAACACCTTCTAAAATTATCTGGATGAGTCCGTCTTAAAGGAAGTGGTCACGACAATTCCCATGGGGGCCATATAAGGGAAGTTGTACTGGAGTGGATAGGGGTCCTGCCCAATGTTACAACACGTGAAGTTTCAGTGGCAGTGCGCCTTATCACAGTTTGCGCGCCTTATCAACGGAGTGATAAGGCGCCGAAATCCACTTCCGGATAGCAAAAACCAAGCCTTATCGATGTGGAAGTGGTTGCAACAGCT